TCCTTATGAGATGGAGTAGACGGGGCAAGAAAATACAGATATATGAACTTACATGTGTTGATTTCAGCCAAAGTCAAAGGAGAAGCAACAGACTGACTCTGTATAGAAGTTTCCTTTAGTGTACACACTCAGTCATATACGGGTGTTGTATCCTTCCTCTATGGACCGTAAATTCCCTCCATACTTTCCCTCAGATCATCCTTAAGGATGGATCTAACTAGATCACATGTGACTGGTTCTAATTTCTACATAGTGCATTGCATTGTGTGTGTGTGTGTGTGTGTGTGTGTGTGTGTTTACCATTCATTATACCTCCATTATTATAAGATAGAGTTCCTCTTGCCCTGGCAGGTGGGAGTGAATGTGAACAGGGAAGACAAAGACTTTTAACTCTTTCTTTTGAGATTACAGACTCTTGGTTACTTTCAGTTTTGTGGGTGAAAGAATGCAAATCCATCCACCATTCTGCCATTTTTAGTTTCTTGTTTTGTCCCTCTCTCCCTAGTGTCTCACTTCATTCCTTCTGTTCACACTAGATAATCCATTACCTTTCTCTGCTCAAGTACGAGAAATTCCCTCTCTGGTTGACATTTCCTGCTTAATATAAGAATTTTGATAAGTCAAATAGTAATAGTGGATGGGCACAACAGAGAAACAAGCTGATAGCTGCTTCTGAAAAGCTTCTTTACCTATGAGGGAAACCATTAAGAAAAAGATCTTGTTTGTGATAATTATAGCAAATGGAAAACAAGCTGTTGCAGCTAAATTAGCAGCATTTAGAAAGTTTGTGCTACAGGGTGTTGAGGTAAGGGGGGAGGCATGAACAGGCAGAGCACAGAGGATTTCTAGAGCAGCAAAACTACTCTGTGTGATGTTGTAATGGTGGACACATATCCCTACACATTTGTCCAAGCCCAAAGACATACAATACCAAGAGTGAACCCTACTGTAAACTAATGACTGAGTGATGGTGTTGTGTCATTATAGTTCATTGATTGTAACAGATGCACCACTGTAGTGCATGTCTGATTGTATGTGTGGGGTGGGGTGGGGTGGGGAGGTTGTACGTTTGTGGAAGGAGGGTTCTATGGAAAATATCTGTACTTTGTGCTCACTTTTGCTGTGAATCTCAAACTGCTCTAAAAAATAAAGTCTACTTAAAAACAAAAGCAAACAAACATAAAGGAAGCTTATGCCCATCAACATCTTAGAAGCCCCCAGAAGATGGATTGAAATTTTCTTTCTCTAATTCAAAATGAATTAATCTCTCTGGGAATCTGTGGGCCCAAGGGAAATACCTCTCCAGCTTCACTGCCTAGTTATCTCATTTGATGAGCATTAAAAAAAAAGCTATAAATTCGATTATTTTATTGCACTTGACTAACATTTGCTTCCCATTTACCTCTAGGTTTGAAATTTGAGGAACTTCAAGAAAGATTTGGTGAGGAGTTCTTTAATATATGCTTTGATGAGAATGAGAGAGTCCTTCGAGCTGTAGGTGGCACTTTGCAGGACTTTTTTAATGGCTTTGATGCTTTGTTGGAACACATCAG